AACAAACTCCACCATACTCTGACCAGACTCCGCTGCCTCCTCTCTTTTTATTAAGGAATGTTCCCTACGTTACATGGGCGTGCAGCCTCTAAGGGAGGAGAGCACACAGGCTGCACGCAGGTGTAGCTTAATATTACATTATATCCAACATTATATCCAAGCTCCTTATCATGGTACAGTCAGGCGCTTCAACGGGTGAGAACCGAGGATTTTGGCCTTCTCACGCTTCTGCTCTCAGCTCCTGTTTTGCTGTAGACGCCGCACCTGTTTATTCAAATCTGCTTACACAAGCACATTTTTCATTCAAGCCCACACAATGAAAGTTCATAAGTTTCTGATTGAGAGTACATAATGTTCTGATAACAAGAGGTTTAGAATGATAGATACGGAAAGAACATGGAGTACAGGCGTCCTCCATTTTATATGATAACCTATGTACAGTGATTCCAACAGTAATACTAGTAAATGGACCTTTGAGGGTACCACCCGAAAGAGAAGTCTTTGGACCCTGAAAGGTACAATTATTATTATTTATTTGTTTATAATGTAGACATGACGGAAAATTCTCATTTCCATCTGACAATATTGTCATTTCCAGATATCACACGATCAACCTTTGCAGATTTTTTTTGTTCATTGTAGGCCAACACTCTACATTCTGTTTTTCCTTTGACATGTCTTGTGTATTTTACTTTCCTGAGGTGGTCCAAAAGTCTTGGTCTCAGGCATTGATGGTCATGAACATGCATCATTTTCCATCCATCCATTATCGTAGCTGCTTATTCCCGAATAGGGTCGTGGGGGGAACTGGGGCCTAACCCAGTGGTCAATGGGCGAGAGGCAGGGTCACCCTGGACGGTCCATCACAGGGTGACACAGAGACACACAAGGACAAACAACCACGCACACTAACGCTCACTCCCAAGGGCAACTTGGAAGGTCCAATTGAGCAAACAAGCAGGTTTTTGGACGGTGGGAGGAGGCCGGAGAACCCGGAGAGAACCCAAACAGACACAGGGAGGACATGCAAACTCCACACAGAAATCCCCTGATTCTCCCAGGGACTCAAAGCTAGAACCCTCTTGCCCTGAGGCGATGGTGCTAACCACCACACCACCACGCACCATCCTAATTTTTTCAAAAGTATATTGTTCAGTACTTTTTAGACCCATATTTTGGTGTCTGGCTCTTCAGACACAAATGGATTTATTTCTTATTGGCACTTTAATATCGTTCAAATCAAACTCCACTGTCAAATGTTCATGACAGCTTACAAACAAACAGTTACACATTAATAATGAAGGAACAATTCCTCAAACAAACAGAATCATTTTTCAGATCCCTTAAGGTGAAATTAGTTTTTAACATTTTCTTTAAAAATGTATTTTTACAAAAATGCTTTTTTCCAGCTGACAAAATTATGATTTCCAGATAGCTTGTGTTGATGCTTTGGAGATTTTCTGTTCCCTTGTTCATGTGAACACATTTGTGGATATGCAACCGTCCCCAAAACTATTAAAAAATGTTTACACTAATCTTTTTTTTATAGAATATATCGTAGACTAATTCTTCAGACCCATTTTTTGTCTATTCGTCTTTTCTATCCAAATTTCTGTGGTATTCCTTTGATCATCTTACACAGCATATACTTTCTCAAGTATTGTTTAAGTGTCTTGTCTCGTAGTCCATAAACGATTGGACTAAAAAACCGGGGGAGAATCTGAATGAAGATGTAGGAAACAAAGAGTATTTCGGAAAAATGTTTTGGAAACCACTTTATGAAAGCTATTTTTAAATGGGGGGCTACAAAAGTGAGCATACTTAACAGCAGCTGGAAGCCATGAAGCAGGATTGTGTTCCTGGCCTTTTTTATTTTTCCATCTGCTGAATTAGCAGCTTTGGCAGCAACGAAAATCTTGAAGTAGGTGTAGAGGAGGGTGAGCCAAACTCCACTGAGATAGATCAGGTAAGAAATATCTCTCTTCTGCACACTAGCTGGGTGTCTGAACA